CTGTGCTCGTTACCTGAGGAGCTGGAGGGGGATAATACTAATGTTCTCTCACAATAAATCAATACATCTGAACTCAGTGAAAGTAGATGTTTGGATTTCAACACCAACTTTGTTTTTTCAGAGATGATATCGCAAATCTACAATCAGGTACACACACACACACACACACACACACACACACACACACACACACACACACACACACACACACACACACACCACACACTGACGTCCTGCTGATGCGTTGAACCTGTTCCACAAGAACGTCTACAGATGATCTGGAACCAGTTTATCCTCTGGAGCACATGATGCTGCACACACACACACACACACACACACACACACACACACACACACACACACACACACACACACACACACACACACACACACACACACACACACACACACACATATCCACACATGTTTTGATTCAGTGTTTCAGGAGTCAGCTCCTCCCATAAGTCTCTGCTAATAAAGTTTGTCTCCAAACTGCAGAACAAAGGTCTCCATTCAAACTGATTCTCAGTGGTTAGAACAAATTACAGACTTAAGAACCTCATAATTATACTTACAGTCTCGAGGAAAAGTACTAATTAGCGATCTTTTCTTTCAATGTATTTACAATCTGCAAAGTTATTTCAACGTTTTTAATAAGTAAGTCTATTCTCTTTCCTTTACCTGCACTAAACGTCTGTAATGTACATGTCCTCGCTGCAGAACAATAAAGGAACTCTGATTCTGAACCTTGCCCCCCCCCCAGGTGGAGATGCCCCCCCCCCCTCCTGTCATGGCGTTGGATCGTAGCTCCGTCTTCCCGTCTCTGGCCGGCGTCACTGACATCATCGCCAGCAGCATCCCCTCATTGGCTGGACTCGCCACCTCCCTCAGAGGCTCCGCCCCCTCCGCCCCTTCTGCCCCCCCCTCCATAGACAGCATGGCTAACAGCATCGCCGCTAACATACCTAGCTTAGCGGGAACTGCTAGCGCTGTGGCTAACCCCCCCGCGGCTACGTTAAACTCCGCCTCCTTCACCACACCTGGTCACACTGTTAGCTTAGACAGCATAGTTAGCTCGTTCGCTAACATTCCCAGTTTAGCGGGGATTGTTAGCAATGTGGCTAACCCGTCTGTTAGCTCCATAACGACCCCGTCAGCCCCCCCCCCCTCACTGCCGGGGATCGGAGACGCTCACACAGGTACAGCAAGAAGTTGATTTTTTAAATAAAATTACTCCATTTCCTTTGTTTTAATTTTTCAAAGTGTTCTGCTGGAACGAGTCCGTACCATAATATGAGTCAGCATTTCCTCACTTCCTGTCCCCTGGTCTGGAGGTCAATGGTTTTATGAATGTGTTTTTGGTTGTTATCCTGAAATCAGGTCTGTGGTTAACACGAGCTGAAGAGACTTTAACGTTTTGTCAGTAAATACCTGTCGGCGTGTTACTTCAGAAATCACAAAGTGGTGTTAATATGTGGAGAGTATCCTGCTGAACTCAACGTTTGTTTGACTCAGAGATTATTTTCTGACATAACCCAAAATCACATGGAGGAATCCCATTGGACGTGGGAGATGCTGCCTTCACGGTCCAACACAGGAATACCTCCCGCTCTGTATTGGCCCATCAGTTACATTACATTACATTACATTTAGCTGACGCTTTTATCCAAAGCGACTTACAATAAGTGCGTTCGACCAACAAAATACAACCTTGAAGAAAACAGAATCATAAAGTACATCAGGTTTCATAGAGCCAAACATTTCAAGTGCTACTCAACTGGCTTTAGGTAAGCCAGTCCTTTGTTAGTATATAAGTGCTTTGTTAATAGTTCTATCGCTCGAAGTGAAGTCGAAAGAGATGAGTTTTCAGTCTGGAAGGTGTGTAAGCTATCTGCTGTCCTGATGTCAATGGGGAGCTCATTCCACCATCTTGGAGCCAGGATAGCAAACCCACGTGTTTTTGCCGATGGGAACTTTGGTCCCCCTCGCAGCGAGGGTGCAACGAGTCGTTTGGCTGATGCAGAGCGGAGTGCACACGCTGGGGTGTACGGTTTAACCATGTCCTGGATGTAGGAAGGGCCAGATCCATTCGCAGCATGGTACGCAAGTACCAGTGTCTTGAAGTGGATTCTAGCAGTTACCGGAAGCCAGTGAAGGGAGCGGAGGAGCGGAGTGGTGTGGGAACATTTAGGAAGGTTGAAGACCAGGCGAGCCGCTGCATTCTGGGTGAGCTGCAGAGGTCGGATGGCACATGCAGGTAGACCAGCCAGGAGGGAGTTGCAGTAGTCTAGGCGTGAGATGACGAGAGCCTGGACCAGAACCTGAGTCGCTTTCTGAGTCAGCTGGGGACGTATCTTCCTGATGTTGTAAAGCGTGTATCTGCAGCAACGGGTTGTAGCAGCGATGTTTGCAGTGAAGGACAGGTTGTTATCTAGGGTCACACCCAGATTCCTTGCAGTCTGAGTCGGGGAAACAACTGAGGTGCCGATGTTGATTGTTAGGTCAAGAGTGGGACAATCTTTTCCCGGAAGGAAGAGCAGCTCAGTCTTGTCAAGATTGAGCTTGAGGTGGTGAGCAGACATCCACTGAGAGATGTCCGCTAGACAAGCAGAGATGCGTGCGACGACCTGGGTCTCTGAGCGGGGAAAGGACAAAATTAATTGGGTGTTTCAGACATACTCCCTTCTGATTGGCTGAGCATGTCCTCTGTTTGTGTGCAGATGTCGGAGCGTTGTCTCAGCTGGTGATGTTAACGTTAGACTCGAACACAGGAGTCTCTTTACCGTCTCTTCAGGAGACGGAGCCATCAGAGGAAGGTGTGTTCAGTCTCATATAAGACTCTTATTCTCAATATGAAGAGTTTAAACATAAGAAAAGACAACCATTTTTCCCATATGAGCAAAGCTTTTCAATGCATAGTCCAACACGTCCACCTCCCGATGAGACGTTATGATTATGAACGGTTTAGTAGGATTATATAAAGTGTGTGTCCTCGGGGTCTGACTCCTCTCCGTCTGTCTGGGTTCCAGTCTCCAGACGCTCTCCTCACACCATCAAAGAAGAGAATCCATACGTCACGCTGTTAGCTTGTTGGGCGAGCCAAGAGGAAGCCGACACCGACTCGTCCAATGAGGAGGACGATACAGGAGCAAGCCCCGCCCCCTCTGGTGCAGAGGGACCAATGGAGGGAGATCCTACTCATAACACATCGTCAACAACCACCAAGTATTTATACGGTACTACAAAAACTACCTCTAGTACTTCACTGCATCCTAACTGGTGTTTGTTTGTCCTGCAGCCTCCCGTCCAATCAGGCGGGACGTCTGGTCCCCACGCGGCCGGCCCCGCCCCCTCCTCCCAGCCAATTAAAGAAGCCGCAGAGACAGAAGATGCCGAGGTACGCAAACGCACCTTCAGGAAGACAAACAACAACAAACGTCCTCTATTTATTTATTTCATTAGCTTTCATTTCTCTGATTTAGTTTTCTCATTCTTGCTGACGGTAAGTAAGAGTTCAGGAAAGCAGGGTTACGACACAAGAGAGACCTGACGCAGTGTCGCATGCAATCAGTGCAGGACAGCAGCCCATAAACCTGTGAAGGTTTGCAAATCATCCTGCAAACACATGTCTCCTCAAGTTGCTGACTGTTCTCTAAATGCTGCACGTGTTGTTGCTGAAGATGCTTCTTCATGAGGAACGTCTGACACTCAGTGTGGTTGTGTCCTGCAGGACGGCCACTATCCGAGTGTCCAGGAAGAAGGGGGCCGTGGGGGGGGCGGCCCCTCACAGCGCCGTGGTGAGGTCCGGCTGGCTGGATGTGTGGAAGGGCTTCAGGTAACACCGTCACCTTTAATACCATATCCACCCTGATCACATCACACGTCCTCTGCTCTTCTTCATTGGTTATAATGTGCTGTTCTTTGGACTTCTGTTTTGTTTAGTGTTTAGTGAACCTTGTACGGCCACCTAGTTGAGAGCCTTGAAAGCGCCTTTATAAATAAAATGTATTATTATTATGATTATTATTGATGGAGCTATCAGCGTCCCCATCACTCTGTATCTGATCTGGGAGTCTTATTACATTTGATTGTCCCGGTTTCTGATGATAAGGATTAATATCCACTGTTCAGGACATCAGATCAGAACCAGGTTTATCTCCAGGTGGGTCGACACGTACGAGGAATTTGACCTGATGTCGTGCTGCATACATAAAAGTAAAACAACAATTAAAAACACAGACAGAAAACTATTCAAAGAAAACTATTTACATTGAAATAGAATGGAATAAAAGATGTGCAGTAATAAAATAACAGATATTGTGTACATTGTGCATTTATGTAATGCATAGAGTCTGTGATGGGACATGCTTTGTGTCCGAGACAATGTTAGCATGTTAGCATGTGGCTATAGCAGGCTCCAGGCTCTGAGCAGCTGCAACTCTTCCAATCGCTATCTGCCGTCTCAAGGTCCAGCAGAGACTGAGCTCCAGCCATAAAGGTCTTCAGCTGAATGCACTCGGCTCATTTCTTTGTCTTATCTTTGAGAATTGTTTCTCAGCAGATTGACCCGTTTAATGTGTAAATATCACAAGAGCAGCAACCCACTGTTAGCTCAGCAGCTATGCTACGGGTCATCCATTGAGGTGATTGATAATCAAACAGCTGAGAAGCAGACAGATCGTTTGACATTAACAACGACAGGAGACCCAGTAAAGATCCCTGAGGAACACCTCATCAGATGAGCGGATTCACATCGTTTCTCTTTTCTTACAGACACAGCGTTCTGTGGGCGACGCTGGACGGGCAGCTGATGTCTCTTTGGAAAAAACGCAACGTAAGTACCTGTCTCTCTGTATACACCTGTCTCTCTGTCTCCACCTATCTCTCTGTCTCCACCTGTCTCTACCTGTCTGTCTCCACCTGTCTCTACCTGTCTGTCTCCACCTGTCTGTCTGTCTCCACCTGTCTGTCTGTCTCCACCTATCTCTCTGTCTCCACCTATCTCTCTGTCTCCGTCTGTCTGTCTCCACCTGTCTGTCTGTCTCCACCTGTCTGTCTGTCTTCACCTATCTGTCTGTATCCACCTGTCTGTCTGTCTCCACCTGTCTGTCTGTCTCCACCTGTCTGTCTGTCTCCACCTGTCTGTCTGTCTCCACCTGTCCCTCTCCACCTGTCTGTCCCTCTCCACCTGTCTGTCTCTCTCCACCTGTCTGTCCCTCTCCACCTGTCTGTCTGTCTCCACCTGTCTGTCTGTCTCCACCCATCTCTCTGTATCCACCTGTCTGTCTGTATCCACCTGTCTGTCTGTCTCCACCTGTCTGTCTGTCTCCACCTGTCTCTCTGTCTCCACCTGTCTGTATCCACCTGTCTGTCTGTCTCCACCTGTCTGTCTGTCTCCACCCATCTCTCTGTATCCACCTGTCTGTCTGTATCCACCTGTCTGTCTGTCTCCACCTGTCTGTCTGTATCCACCTGTCTGTCTGTCTCCACCCATCTCTCTGTATCCACCTGTCTGTCTGTATCCACCTGTCTGTCTGTCTCCACCTGTCTCTCTGTCTCCACCTGTCTGTATCCACCTGTCTCTCTGTCTCCACCTGTCTGTCTGTCTCCACCTGTCTGTCTGTCTCCACCTGTCTCTCTGTCTCCACCTGTCTCTCTGTCTCCACCTGTCTCTCTCTACCTGTCTGTCTGCAGCCAGTCAGTGTTCAGCTGTGTTTGTTTCGTTCACCAGGACCGGTTCAGCGAGGTTCTGTTTCACGTCTCCAGCATCACCAACGTGAAGAAGCAGGACAAACGCAGGTTCTCCGTGTACTTCAGGAAGAAGCACTACGACTTCATGGCTCACAACGACGGTGAGCTCACCTTCTCCATCGCGACGCCTCGGGAAGTCTGGGTTATAATATCAGTTCCTGAAGTTTGAAATGAGCAGGACATAGAATATAAACAGGAAGTTAAGGTGACAAAGGTTTGCAGTAAAGGACAAAAAGGATAATACCACAATCCTTTAGTCACAACATCATACAACTGTGACTTTATAGGCTTATGGTTATTTCAATAACATCATATTTGTGATTTATGACCTCTTTTAAAACTGAAAATGATGCAGCTCGTCATCATCTGTCATTCGGAGGCCGACAGATGCTCAAACACAACGGAGACCAGGGGCTGGATCAGTAAATGTGGTAATGCTCATTACGACCACAAGGCGGTGCTAACACAGCTAAAATATAAACGTATATGACAGAAAAGATTAGGTAAAGTATTATTTGTAATTGTAACAGACGGGTACACCCCTCCTCTCTGGTTCTTCTTCATGTGTTTCTCTCTCAGAGGTCCATGAAGGCTGGGTCACGTCTCTGTTAGCGTCCCGAGGCCAGCCAAGCCCCGCCCCCCCCAGAACTCCTTGGACCAATCACCATGAAGGACACGCGGAGCCGCGCCTACGCCGCCCTGTGGGGTCACGACCTCTGGATCTACCACAGCAAGGAGGCCTTCCAGCTGGGCATCGCCTCCTTCTCCGTGCCCCTGAACGTGGCCTCGGTCAAAACGACGGGAAAACACTCTTTCAGCCTCATCACTCCGTACAAGAGCTTCAGGTACCAAGTGTGTGAAGTGTGTCCCAAGTGTCCCAAGTGTGTGTGAAGTGTGTCCGAAGTGTGCTTTACTGTCTTTTCTTGCCCCGACCCATTCTCCTCGTGGCCCCGCCCCCTCCCGCAGTCTGTCTGTTGATTCAACGAAGGATCTGTCCCTCTGGTTGGACATTCTGTCCTCCACTATCCGCAGTGCTCTGTCCTGCAGCCAGGTGGCGCTGCGGCTCTGGGAAAACCCCAACAACAAAGTGTGCGGTGACTGCGGCGCCACTAACCCGGAGTGGGCGTCGGCCAACTTGCTGCTTGTCATCTGCCAGGCCTGCGCAGGTAAACCTAGCACAAGTGGACAACAGGTGGGATGCTAATGTAGCTAGCTGGTTTTAATGCTAACAGGGATTTGTTCCCAGGTCAGCACCGAGCTCTGGGCAGCAACCTGTCCAAGGTCCGGAGTCTAAAGATGGACAACAAGATCTGGACTGAACCATTAATACAGGTGAGGGGGGGGTGAACCATTAATACAGGTGAGGGGGGGAACCATTATTACAGGTGAGGGGGGAACCATTAATACAGGTGAGGGGGGGGTGAACCATTAATACAGGTGAGGGGGGGGAACCATTAATACAGGTGAGGGGGGGGAACCATTAATACAGGTGAGGGGGGGAACCATTAATACAGGTGAGGGGGGGAACCATTAATACAGGTGAGGGGGGGAACCATTAATACAGGTAAGGGGGGGGAACCATTAATACAGGTGAGGGGGGCTGAACCATTAATACAGGTGAGGGGGGGAACCATTAATACAGGTGAGGGGGGGAACCATTAATACAGGTGAGGGGGGGATGAACCATTAATACAGGTGAGGGGGGGGGAACCATTAATACAGGTGAGGGGGGAAACCATTAATACAGGTGAGGGGGGGAACCATTAATACAGGTGAGGGGGGGATGAACCATTAATACAGGTGAGGGGGGGAACCATTAATACAGGTGAGGGGGGGGGAACCATTAATACAGGTGAGGGGGGGCTGAACCATTAATACACATGAGTGGGGGTTGAACCATTAATACAGGTGAGGGTGGGCTGAACCATTAATACAGGTGAGGGGGGGTGAACCATTAATATTATGGTCTTATCTAAACCTTTGATCTTTGAGGGAGTGGGGTGCTGACCTTTCACCTGTTCTTCCCCCAGCTGTTTGTCGCCCACGGTAACCGGCTGGCCAATCAGGTGTGGGCTCCTGTGGTGCCGGCGGCGGAGCAGCTGTTTCTGGGGTCGCCGGACGAAGAGAGGTCAAAGTTCATCCAGGATAAATACAGGAGGGGGCGCTACAGGAGGGTTCACCACCTGACCCCCTCCCCCGCCCTCATGGACCAGGTGAGTCTCATCTGAAGCTACACCTAAGGGCACTTCCTGTTTGAGCAGGTCTGTGTACCATCAGATCCAAAGGAACCATCTGTGTTTGAATCTGCACTCCACAGAGCTAATGGCTGACGGATGTTTCATACAGAGTAAGGTACGGTTATTTATGAAGCACACTTTCAGACACAGAGGCAAAGTGCTTTACATCATCATTAACACAGATTCATAAAAACATGCATAAAAGAGATAGTTGTATTGTAAATACTAAAGAGATAGTTGTATTGTAAATACTAAAGAGATAGTTGTATTGTAAATACTAAAGAGATAGTTGTATTGTAAATACTAAAGAGATAGTTGTATTGTAAATACTAAAGAGACAGTTGTATTGTAAATACTAAAGAGACAGTTGTATTGTAAATACTAAAGAGACAGTTGTATTGTAAATACTAAAGAGATAGTTGTATTGTAAATACTAAAGAGATAGTTGTATTGTAAATACTAAAGAGATAGTTGTATTGTAAATACTAAAGAGATAGTTGTATTGTAAATACTAAAGAGACAGTTGTATTGTAAATACTAAAGAGACAGTTGTATTGTAAATACTAAAGAGACAGTTGTATTGTAAATACTAAAGAGACAGTTGTATTGTAAATACTAAAGAGACAGTTGTATTGTAAATACTAAAGAGACAGTTTGTTGTAATAAGATAGTTGTATTGTAAATACTAAAGAGATAGTTGTATTGTAAATACTAAAGAGACAGTTGTATTGTAAATACTAAAGAGACAGTTGTATTGTAAATACTAAAGAGACAGTTGTATTGTAAATACTAAAGAGATAGTTGTATTGTAAATACTAAAGAGACAGTTGTATTGTAAATACTAAAGAGATAGTTGTATTGTAAATACTAAAGAGACAGTTGTATTGTAAATACTAAAGAGGACAGTTGTATTGTAAATACTAAAGAGACAGTTGTATTGTAAATACTAAAGAGACAGTTGTATTGTAAATACTAAAGAGATAGTTGTATTGTAAATACTAAAGAGATAGTTGTATTGTAAATACTAAAGAGATAGTTGTATTGTAAATACTAAAGAGATAGTTCAAACACAACATTGTAAATACAGAAGGTGCTTCAAACCAGTGAAAAGGCTTCTGGGTAAGCAGCTGAAAACAGTGAAGTGTTTAGCCTTCAAAGAACTCAGCGTTGGTGAAGACTCTGGTTTCTGGAAGTCTGTTCCATTTGTGCAGGGAATATAAACTGAGAGCAGCGTCAGAGTGTTTGGTTCTGACCCGGGAACAGTGAGTAAGACTGGGGGGCTCGCAGCAGGGCAAAGTACGGCCCATTTGGGTATAGGCACGTCACGGTCCATTTTGAATCGGCCCTCAGATTCTTAAAGGTCCCATGTCCATTTCTCCTGATCATAGTTCCATCGTTGAGGTCTATAGAATAGATTCACATTGTTCAATGTTCCAAACTCACATTGGTTTCTCACAGCATCTCTGTATAGTCTGTGTATTCACTCTCTGTCCTACACGGCTTGTTGGAGCTCCTGCCCCCCCCCCCCCCCCTATGAGCCCAGTGGCCGTCAGCGAGACAGCGAGACACAGCGAAACGCAGCCTGAAACCAGCCCGAACACACACACACCCCCGCAGCCTGGCTGGGAGTTTGTGTGTGTGTGTGCTCACTAGGGTTGCAAAATTCCAGGAATTTTCAAAGATGGAAACTCATGGGAATAAACTGGGAATAAACTGGGAATTTTCAAAATGTAAGATTGGCTCTTAGGGAACTTCAATAGAGTTGGGGAAAGTATATTTTAGCATAATCTTGACTGAAACAAACAGATGCCATTCAAGTACACTTGGATATCCATGCCATAGCACACTGCTCACTGCATGGCTATTGAGACCACACAAAGGTTCGCAACAGGCTCACAAATGTGAGAGTGGAAAACTGGTTGGCATTCGGGCAAACCTAAGTCTCTCTGAGCCGGACACAGAGCCTCCTCAACAAGGCTGGACAGTGACACGGAAGAGGAAGACTCAGAGTGTGATGTTGATGAGGCCCGGAAGAGCCCGTTGACTGAAAGGGTTTAGCCAAAATGCAGAGGATCGCTTGAAGGGAGATTTGCATGTTGAATGGGACTTTGTGGGGATTTTTGGATCGGGGTGCATTTTTGTTCATTTTTTAATGAGTGGGGTTGGGGGGGGATGAGTAATATTTAACTCAACATTCCTGTTTTCGTTCTTCAATGAAACAAATAATTGTTCACTAAAATAATTAAAACTTGTTCTGTTCTACTTTAAAAAAAATACAAAAATCTGTTGAAATGTCATGTTTTTTGTTTAATTTTGCATCGAATATTTCCAAAATTCCCCAGCTTAACTTCCCATGGAAACTTTCCAGAAATGTACCGGAAATGTTCCGCACCTTTGCAACCCTAGTGCTCACACACAGACTCACATCCTCGCGGCGTCCCGCCGTCTCAGGGAGGAGAAATCGGCGGAGCTGAGAAAAGATTGAGTGTGTGTGTGAGGAAGTCCGTGGATTGGTCAATTTGGACCAATCCACGGACTTAACGTAACGGCTCCGCGGATTGGTCCATTTGGACCAATGGGTCCATTTGGGTATGGGCACGTCACTGTACCCAGGGCGTCCAACGAGGCGTTCTAGAGCAGCACAGACAGGTCTTCTCTGTGTCAGAGTGTTACTCCCTACAGGGGGCACTTTGAGGGTTTGAAACTCTACAGACCGTTCACGTGCAGAAGCTACAGAACACAAGGGGACGGGTCAGAAACAGAGAAGCAGGACATGGGACCTTTAAAGTATTTTGGAATATGACCCACATATGAAATGTGTGTTTTTCTTATATTGTACTTCTGAAAAATATATGTTAACAATTATTACACAGTAGTGCTGGGGGGAAACGATTATTTTGAAAACGATTAATCGGGCGATTATTTGATCGATTAGTCGACTAATCTAACGATTATTTTTCTGTTGTTCAATTCATAAAAAACGTAATGTAAAAAAACGTAATGTAAAAAAAAAATGTTTCACGATACTGTGTCTCAGGGGATCTTAATATTTAAGAACCTATTAATGTGTTATACCAGATTAACGGAAATAATCTCAGCTAACTGACGATACAAACCATGTTTACCAAAACAAAACACAAGTCTCATAAGAAGCATCTAAATGACCCCTGAGCGAAAAATGGTAACGGACATTGGCACAGAACTCAAGATAAAAGTAACCTTATTACTTATCGTAGCTGCACATACAAGATATCCGATTAAAGCTGAGACTCCACAGATTATGTAGGTATATAGTATCATCACTGAGTGATCCGGACTCGCGACAGGGGAAGCAAATACAGTCATCACAACACGTACCTTCACAGAGCTTCTCGGGAGATCGTCTCACCACCGTAGCTGTCAATCTGATCAAAAGACGTGTTCAATGGCATTAAAATGAGAAAAAACACGGCTGAATCGGTTAATCCATAGGTTTTTAACGTCTCTGTATAAAAAAATGATTGAATTTATAATCCATAATTCCATTTTATGTAAAAATCGGAGAGCAAATGCTAGCTGCTAATGGTAGCCACCACAGCTAGCTGCTGCTTCTGCTAGGCTATGCAGCAGTCTCAGTGAGATATAAATATATTTGCGTTTTGGACTAACTTTAAAATATTCCCATGCTTTGGAAGACCTAGGGCGAGATGTTTTCGTTTGGGGGCTTCGTGCGCAAATCCTGTGAGGAGGAGGTGGTAGCCGTTTCAGTCTCCATTGTGTTTGAAGTGCGATTGCGAACTGCTTGTTGCTTTGGGTGACCCACGTGTGTGTAGCGACGCGTCGACGCGGAAATATGTCGTCGACGATATTTTGAAGTCGACGCGTCGACGCGTCGACGCGTCGCTACAGCACTATTACACAGTAGTATTCATGTGTTAAAAAGCCCACTTTTCCAATAGATTTAGTTCATTAGAGCTGAAAACATTTTCTAACAAATCTTAGTTGAAAGGAAAAGTCCAATAACTTATTCATATAACAAGCTTGAATTAAACCCTATGATCATCACTCTGATGCTCTGTTTGAAGGGATGAGCTGTTCTTCTTAAAGTATAGTATTCAAGTATCAAGAATGTGAAAAACATTTGGACCCCCTGGAGTAAAGAGTGTGTGTGTGTGTGTGTGGTGTGGTGCACTGTAAAAAAATAACTGTAAAAAAACGGTAAAAATCTGGCAGCTGGTGCTTCCAAAAACTTACCGTCAAATTACAGTGAAATACCCTAATTACAATAATGGGAAAAAACCGTAAATTCACAGTAAATATAATGAATTTCCTTTACAGAGAAACCCTGTTATTTTACAGGTATCTTCCCTTGTTTATTACGGACATAATTTAGAGTTTAAGCATGTAAAAACTGTTATTTTACAATTTTATCCTAAATTATTACAGTCAAACACCTTCAATAAAGTGACAGAACTTAAGGTTCAGCAGTGAAACACTGTTATTTTACAGGTGTATCTGCTCTTTTTACAGTCAATAACCTTTAATAAAAGTACAGCACTAAAACTTTCTACGGGCAAAAAACCCGTAAAAAAAAACGGTCAAATGACTGGCAGCAGCAGGCTGCCAAACAAAAACCATAACATTAAAGTAAAAAAACTGAAATAAAGTGCAAAAGGCAATTAATATACAGGAATTGTCCTTAAAGATTTTAGAGGAAACTTTCCTCTCTTTTCAAAATCCATTGTCTTAAAATGTTACATTCAAATACCTTAAATAAAGTTCTGATGAGGAAAAACTGTTTTTTCACATTTTTTTTTATTAGATTTGTATGATCTACACCAACATAAATACAGAACCTAAAGTTCTACAGCTAGAATACTGTTATTTTACAGCTTTTTTCTAACATTTCCAATCAAACAGGCTCAACAAAATGACATCACAAAATGTTCTATAGGAAACAATTACTCTGAAAACTTATATATAAAATATTTGTAGAA